TCTCACTTCCAAAAATTATTTGATGTGCCTTCTTTAAATGGAGTCTATCCCCGAATGAATGAAGTTTACACTAGGCTTGGAGAAATGAGCAATGCTGTGAGAAACCTCCAGGAACTCCTAGAATTAGGTGATGGCCTTTGTCATTTTTGGTCCCCATTTAATATTTAATAATTATTTCTAATTAACAAAAGCAAGGTAAAAAGAGAGGACAACTGGAGCATAAAATGATTTACTTTTTTTTTTTTTTTTAACTTGTCAAAGACTAAGATTTGCCATCTACTAGTTCACTTTCCAGATGTCTGCAACAGCTGGTGCTGGGCCAGGCTGAAGCCAAAATCTGGGAACCCAATCTGGGTTTCCCATGTGGGTGACTGGTAGTAGGAAGCTGGAATCGGGAACGGAGACAGGACTCGAACCCAGGCACTCTGATATGAGATGTAGGTGTCTTGGACAATATCTTCACCACTGTGCTTAATGTCCTTTCCTGAAGCATAAAATGTTTGGTAGCTGTACTGATTTTGAAAATTCTCTTTTTAAGAATCCTACCTGCTTTATAAATTAACTTATTATAGAGTAAGCTTCTGTCTGCTGGTTCACCCCCCAAATGCCCACAATGCTTATTATAGAGTAAGCTTCTGTCTGCCGGTTCACTCCCCAATGCCCACAATGGGCAGTGGCCATCACCACTGCCTCCCATGGGCCACATTAGCAGGAAACAAATCAGGAACTGGAGCTGGAGCCAGGCATTGAACTAACACACTCTGGCATCCCAGCCAGCAACTTAACTGCTAGGCCAAGCACTCCTAAATATCCTGTCCTTTTGTTTCTTTTTTGCAGATAGTTCATCATCAATGTGTGTGTTGGTAAGCACAGTTGGAAAACTGTGTAGTCTGATTAATGAGGATGTGAACGAGCAGGTTAAGCAAGTATTAGGACCTGAAGATCTCCAGAGGTATTTGTTTGAACAGTATCATCTGTAGTGCTGGAAGTTGTAAAATTACAGACTTGAAAAGATAACATAAGTTATCTACCTTCTGTTTTTGGAATATCCTCTTTTAAGTAACTTAATAATCTAAAATAAACTCACATCCATAGGAACAGGGAAAATGCCAGGTCTTTTCAAAATAACAGTAGATTGTAGGGCCTTTAAGTTTCCATAAGGTGGGTCAGGAGTTCTTCAGCATAAACCTAAAGTTGTATATGGAGAAATGCCAACCTTTTTAGCCATTTCATGAGTTCTGGATTATGTCAACAAGCTTTTTTTTTTTAGATTTATTTATTTGAAAGTCAGAGTTAGAGATTTTCCATCATCTGGCTCAGTCCTCAAATGACCACAATGGCCAGAGTGGAACCCATCTAGGCCAAACTGAAGCCAGGAGCTTCTTCCAGGTCTCCCACATGTGTACAGGTACACAAGCATTAGGCCATCTTCCACTGCTTTCCCAGGCACATTGGCAGGGCGCTAGATTGGAAGTAGAGCAACTGGGACTTGAACTGGTGCCCATATGGGATGCCAGTGCCACAGGTGGTGCCTTCACTGGCCATACCACGGTGCAGGCCCCAACAAGACCTATTTTTAGCATACTGCTGTAGATCACATAATAATCACTAACAGTATTTTACTTGATCAGGAGATAAGTGTTAAGGATTTTTTAAAAGACTAGGCACCACTAACAAAACTTAATGTTTTTGTTAAAAATACTGAGACACTATGGCTGTACCTACAGCAACTTTCTCCATCCCTTACCCCCAATTTTGTACTATAATATATGGTAAGGAAAGTCCACATATATACCAGATACTCCATATATTCTGTAGTTTTCCCTGGAATAACCAGTATATAACCTGACACTTGAGTTTGCTGATGTTTGATGCTTTTAAAATCAAAATATATCCCATATTGGCTTTTTTCTCCTTCCCATGGTTTTGTTGTTTACTGATAGTTTTATTAATGTTTAATAGGCTACTGGTTATAAAAACTTATTTTTTAAAAAATGTTTAAAAAATATTTCCTAAGAAGTCTAGAGCTAAATGAAAAGTTTGCCATGTTAGGATTTTTGTTACATAAATTTAACAAGTATCTACACTGATAATATTCCTTTTTTTTTTTTTTTTTTTTTAAAGAAATGCAGTCTTAGGTGAAGAAAGAGGTCAAAAAGGAAGGATTATAGTATTTTGGTCATTAATTGGCATAGTATCTTTGTGCTTTGAAAATGTTCTGTTTGCATCCATGTCTGCAACTACATGTAACAACCATAAGTTGAAATCTTGGTGTAAATTGTGTGTTTTTTAAAACAGCATTATCAAGAAGTTAGAAGAACATGAGGAATTTTTCCCAGCATTTCAGGCATTTACCAATGATCTTCTTGAAATCTTAGGTAAGACCTCTGTTGATAATGATTAAATTTTGAGTTTAAAGATGTCAGTGGGTTGAATATAAGTGTTCCTTGGTCACTGGGTTAGTATTTTTGCTTCCAGTGTTTTTTAGAAAGTGTCTGAAAATCACCAAATTTTGGAAATAACCTCCTAATTTGTAGTTAAAGTTGGATGGGATTCGTTCACAGAGCAGGGAAACACAGACCCTTTAAGGAGATCGGGACTGCCTTTGTTTTGGGGCCTTCTGAGAAAAATGGCAGTACTCTGGTCAGGCCCAGTTGATCCTGGCATTGTCATTGCATAATAAGAAATCTTGGTAGAATTTATGATCTTGGAAGGCATCCAACTCCCTGCTAATATGTGGGAAATCAGCAGGAAATGGTCCAAGTGCTTGGGCCCCTACATCCCCACGGGAGAACAAGAAAAATCTCTTGGCTCCTGGCATTGGTCTGGCCCAGCCCTGGCTGTTCTGGCCATTTGGGGAGTAAACAAGTGGATGGAAGACCTCTCTCTCTCTCTCTGCTGGTTATATACTGGTTATTCCAGGAAAAATTTCAGAATATATGGAGTATCTGGTATATGTGTACTTTCCTTACCATATATTATAGTACAAAATTGGGGGTAAGGGATGGAGAAAGTTGCTGTAGGTACAGCCATAGCGTCTCAGTATTTTTAACAATGAAAAAGATTAATTTATTTGAAAGGCATTGTTGGAGAGACACACAGATTTTCCATATGTTGGTTGACTCCCCAAACGGCCATAGTGGCCAGGGCTGAGCCAAGCAAAAGCCAGGAGCTTCATTTGTGTCTCCCGTGTGGGTGGCAAGAGCCCAAGTGCTTGGGTCATCCTCTGCTGCTTTCCCAGGCACATAAGCAAAGAGCTGGATGGGAAGTGGAGCAGCCAGGTCCTGGACCAGCACCTGTATGGGATGCTATAGGTGGCAGTTTAACTCACTACTCCACAATCCCAGCCCCCCTATACAAACAACATTTTTTTGATTGATAGTAATGTAAATAGTAAACACCTGAGAGGAAGAGACGAAGTATATTACACTTACGTATTTGGTCAGATTGAGGTCTTCATTAGTGTAACTGTTTAGCATATTAATAACCATTTTAATAGTTGTACTGGTAACATATTTCAGAATCCTTCTGTAGAAAGTTCCTCTCAGCATGGGTTCATGTAAGATCATTTGCTTCAGAAAGCCAAGCCTCTCTGCTCATGAATTCTGTATTTTGGTCAGAGTTGAAATCATAGAGTTAAATATTATTACACTTAACATTGGGAAGGTTAAATCTGATTGGCAAACATGACTGTTTCTGACCAGGTGTCATTCAGCAGCTAGGTACTGAGTGGTATACAGAATATCAGATAGGGAGAGTACCCTCAGTGATAATGGCAGTCTTAAAACGATCTACTTCCTTTCTCTCACGTGAGTGGTATGATTGGCTGAGGATGTTCTCTGTGTGAGGTTCACGTATAAGGTAGGTTTCTCATTTAGTAAGAAAACAGGCATGATTTCAGGATGGGGACCATCCTGGGAATAACTTGTGCTTTACAATCACGTATGGGGTGAACCAAAATCTTGTTTGCTTACATTGTTTCCTTTATTGTATCTTAAGACTTCATAAGGGACGCCAGGCAATTACCCTGACTTAAATCAGGAGCTTAAAGAACTAATAAATACCGGGACAGCAAGGATTGTGTTTAAGCTAAAGGGAGAACAACCAAATTGCAACTGAACAGTGGAGGGAGGGAAAGAGGACAGAGCTGTGTTCTCTAAGGAAAAATTCCTAAGTCTTCAGATAGCAATGCTGGAAAGACACTTGGGATTTCACTAGGTAGTTGGCCCACGTAGTCATTCACATCTGCAGGGGTGCTAGCATATCATGAATGCGGGTGATTAGCTCTCCTAGTGCGGCAAAGGCCAGAGTGAAAGGGCCCTGTGCAGCGTCTGCTCTGGAATCGGGGCACCCACTCACTGCCGCTGGGGAAACATCTGTGCACAGAAGCAACGGTACTGCGCCTTGAGGTTGGAGGTTTGCCTTTGCATAGAGATTCTTATTTCATCTGAGCTTTTTGCTAGAAAATGTTACTCCTCTTTATTTTCTGTTACAGAAATTGATGACGTGGATGCCATTGTACCTGCAGTAAGGAAATTAAAAGTACTTTCATACTGAAAACAAATCAAATCATTTTTACTGTGTAAATTGCATTCTTCACATTCTAAGAATTGTGTAGGATTGATCTTATTTTGAGGCAAGGGTTATATAATGTATTTCCTCTCAGAATTGATCACCTCCTGATTGGGTCACTCTCCATCCATACAGTTTTTAGTAACTTACATTCTTATACAACAAATAGTTCTTAAGTTATTGAAAGTAGTAAATTCACTTTAGATCCCTCAGTAATTTTTTGTTATTCTTGAGTGCTTAAAATATAAAGTTGTTTTAAAGTAGAGTTTTTAAGTAAAATGAGAGAACAGTAATAGAAAGGTTGGATTTAAGTTCAGGGCTTTAGTGACTTTTGGGGTCAAGGCAGAAGTCCAGCCAGTGAAAGCTACTGTCTCCTGGTAAGGATTAATTGACACATTAAGATATCCCTCATGGCCATTGTCATTTCAATGCAGGAAGGGCAAAAGGAAAAAAAGAAAAAAAAATGTTACTGTGTTAGGCTAGAAAATTAATTATGGGGTAAAAATTTGAGTAGATAACCCTCATTTTTAAAAGTGTCCTTTTTTTGCAATCTTGATGTAATGTACTTTTTTTTTTATAAGGACCTAAGATTTCAAATAAAGTTTTTGTGAATAATTTCCAAACTTCAGTGTTCTTAGTGACTTCCTTGTGTTATGGAGAGTCATATTCTGTTCCTAACCTGAGCCTTCCTTGACTACTGGTTGACCCTTTGCTGCACTTAACATAAAGTACTTTTCTTGCTGGCTGCTACTTACTCTCCATGCTTAATATTCAGTCTGATTCTGCCTCACATTCGTGAGTATAAACCATTTGGGCAACCCCTCGAGCTTCCCCTTTTTAAGCAATAGACCTGGGAAGAATTGGCAGGCGCTCTTGTGGGTTGGCAGGTAGAATATTGGAAAGCGTTTCCAGAAAGCAGCCTGGTGGAGTGGAGAGTAACTGTCAGTAGACAAGAAACCAGAGCCTTGGTGTTGTGACTGTGGGCTTAGGGATAAGGCACAACATAGTATCCTTCTAGATTTAAAATTCTCCGTTAGCCTGCTGTTAGTTTTAAACATGTGCCACAGTTTATCAAAGAACCTGTGTTTTAAGTACCTCCAATTGATTAAATTAAATTGCTTTGAGAAATTGCTGAGGCAGTTTGAAGTCTAGCAATATTTTAAAGGAAGAAATGTGATTAGAAAGTCATTTTAACCTAAAATTTATCAGCTCATTTATGAGCCTGTGGTTAATTCTTTAAAACAGTTTCCAAACTCTTCAGAGGCCACAGAGGTGTGTTTTTGTTTTTGTTTTTGTTTTTGTTTTTGAGATGCCTCCAGGGCCACTCAGAGAACAGCTTTAGGCCCTCTCTCTTGGATCCACTTTTAGACAATTTTAGTTATTTAAAATATAAATAATAAAAATTATGCAGTTATTGATTAGCAGTATTCAAATATGAATATTTAAAATCCAAGTGATTCTTAAAACAGTTTGTTGATGTATAAGTGACCTATGCTAAACTGTACATAGTAAAGTATATAACTAGGTAAGTTCTGATATACACATACACTGGTAAAACCATCACCACAATCAAAATAAAACATAACTATCACACCATGATTCTTTGTTCTTTCTTATCTTCTTCCATCCCTTGGTAACAGTTGATCTGCTTTCTATCACTATAGGTTGGTTTGCATTTTTATAGGATTTTATACAAATGAAATAATGTATTCTCTTTTTTTTGTCTGGTTTCTTTTACTCAGCATAATTTAGGATTTGCATGTTTGTTGCTTGTATTAACAGTTCATTTCTTGTGCAGTATTCCATTGTATGACTATACCATAATTTGCTTATCTGTTCATCTGTTGATAGATTTTTGGATTATTTCCAGTTTTTTTCGTACTGCAAAAACTGCCATGAACATTGATGTTCTGTTTTTTTGTTTTGACTTTAGTTTTGGTCATTAAAGGTGGAGGGTAAATTTGGTTTCTGTTAGTCCACCCTACTGAGAGTGGAAGTTTAGAAGTAAGAGTTTTAAGTCTGAAAATCTGTAGGCTTCAGCAGTTGTCTTTTAAATTTTTTTCTGAATGACTGCATTGTAGTCAAAGAATGTGATCTTTTAGTATTGAATTTTTGGAATTTGTTGAAATTTTTTATGACTTTAGATGTTATGAATGTTCCAGACAAAGGTACATCAAAAATTTGTGGAACAATGGAATTTTTAAAATGTTTGTTTTGGTATAAAAAGTTGAAATTATACACAAGCAAATACACATATATATGACAGGTCTTCAAAATGTTCACTGACAATGCATATTATGAAAAAACTAAGCACGGATTTTAAAGTTTAAGAGCCCTCAAATATTATGCTCTTTTAAAAAGTCTAGTCCCTATTATACCTATGTCGTGTTGCATTGCTTAGATCTCCATTTCTATCACTATTTTTGTCTGCTTAATATTTCAGTTTCTGTGATACTAAAACCTCTATGGATTATCAACTTTTATTTTATGTATTTCGGGTCTATTCTAAGTAAATGTCAGTTCATAATTTATATATCTCCCTCCCCCTTTGCTGCTATTCATGATTATTGCCTTGAATGTTATTTTATCCTTTCTTTTCATAGTTCATAGGTATTTCTTATCCATGTTTTTCTGTTTCACTTATTTTACTAGCCTTTTAATTATAAAATATATGTTCTTAACTTGGTATAAATCATAAGTGTCAAGTATAATGAATGAACACCTCGTAGTTAACACCCAGATAGCAACCAAGAAACATCATATCTAGCACTCCAAAAGGCCTTCCCATCCCTCAGTGTCCCCATGGAGATCTGTTATTTTGACTTATATGTTAATCACTTCCTTATTTTCTTAAAAATAGTTTTGCCATGTGTGTATGCCTAAACCAAAACAGGTTTTCCTGTTTTTATAAAAATAGAATGATATTATACATGCCTTTTACTGTTTCCCCTTTGTTCAGTATTATGTTTGTTCTGTGCATCCCTGTTGTTGCATGTTAGGTGCAGGCTACTTGTTTTCATTGCTGTATAGTAGTCCTTCTATGAATATTCTATAATTCATTATTTGTTCTACTGGCATTGTTTGGGTTGTTTCCAGTCCTTGGTTATTGTGAACAGTGTTGCTGTGTACTTACATCCTTGTATACTTGCATGCAAGTGTTCTAGAGTGTGTATCCAGAACTGAATATGCTGGGTCCTAGGGGAAACACGTTTGTGATCAGCCACACAGGCTATGACCTGTGCAATTTAAGATAGTACTATTTCTGTGAATAAGGTGAATGGAGCCTCTGGAATTGTACAGGGTAGTGACTGTGATAGTGTGTGTGTATCTTCAACTTTAGGAGAAAAAGCCAAACTATTTTCCTAAGTGGTTAGACCAACTTAAGTATGAAAATTTCCACTGTTGTATATCCATTTTGCCAGTGCACTGTGTTTAGAGCTATTACAATGATTTGAATGTTTATCTCCTGGACTACCAATGCAGATAAGCATCTTCCCCTTTGCTTATCAGACATTTGTATTTCTTTATTGAAATGTGGTTATGTGTCTCTTACCATTTTTCTGTTGGAAAGTCTGGTTGTTTTTCTTGCTGATTCATAAGAGTTACTTGCATCCATATACTCCAGACATGAGCCAATTGGCAGTTAACATGTGTTTCATGTGTCTTATACTCTGTGGTCTGTTTTTGTGTAGTTTCTTATGAACAGAAAGATGTATAATCTTTTCCTTTCTAGTTAGTGCTTTTTGTGTCTTATGACATTATGTCCTAGTCACAAGTTGTAAAGTTATTCTGTTATCTTAACAGGTTTATAATTTTGCCTTTCCCAGTCTGATGCAGCTGGAGTTGATTGATTCTTGAATGTGGTAGGAGTAAAAACTGTTTCATATTTTCCCACATAAATATCCAGCTGTCCCAGCATCATTTATTGAAAAGTCTATCCTTTCCTTTTTTTTTTTTTTTTTTTTTTGACAGGCAGAGTGGACAGTGAGAGAGAGAGACAGAGAGAAAGGTCTTCCTTTGCCGTTGGTTCACCCTCCAATGGCCGCCGCTGCAGCCGGCGCACCGCGCTGATCCGATGGCAGGAGCCAGGATCCAGGTGCTTTTCCTGGTCTCCCATGGGGTGCAGGGCCCAAGCACCTGGGCCATCCTCCACTGCACTCCCTGGCCATAGCAGAGAGCTGGCCTGGAAGAGGGGCAACCGGGACAGAATCCGGCGCCCCGACCGGGACTAGAACCCGGTGTGCCGGCGCCGCAAGGTGGAGGATTAGCCTATTGAGCCACGGCGCCGGCTGAAAAGTCTATCCTTTCCTTTCCCTCACAGTGCTTGCTCTGTCACAAGCTAATTATATGTGAATGGGCATGCTATTGGGCTCTTGTTCTTTTGGTCCAGTTGTGTTTCCCTGAACTAATACCATGATAGTTGCTATAGTTTTAAAATAAGCCTATTGTATCTAGTTGAAAGCTTTCTACTCTTTATATTTCTATATACATTGAAGCTGTTACCAAGTTACACATGCATATATGTATACAACCTATTGGGATTTCTATTGGACATTAATTCTACATATTGATCAGGTTAGAGAGAATCGGGTCTTTCAACCTCAAACGTGACATGCCTCTCCATTTGTGTATGCTTACTTTAACATCCCTTCAAAAACTTTTATAATCTTCCTGTAGGGGTTATTGCTGAATGCATACATAGTTCTTGATGTTTTATGCACTTATAAATTATCCTTTTAAAATTTAATATTCTCATGGCTTAGGGTACAGAGAACTACAGTTGACTTTTTAAAAAAGGTTTGGGGCTTGCACTGTGTCATAGTGGGTAAAGCCGTCACCTGCAGTGCTGGCATCCCATGTTTGTGCTGGTTTGCATCCTGGCTGCTCCACTTCCAATCCAGTTCCCTGCTAATGTGCCTGGGAAAGCAGTAGAAAATGTCCCAAGTGCTTGGGTCCCTGCACTCACATGGGAGATCCAAAAGAAGCTCCTGGCTTCAGATCAGCCTGGTTCTGGCTGTTGTGGCCACTTGGGGAGTGAACCAGTGGATGGAAGATTCTCATTCTCCCCCCCCCCCCCACTTCTCTCTCCCTCCCTGTAATTCTGCCTTTCAAATTTTTTAAAAGTTTATTTATTTGAAAGTCCAAGTGACAGAGGAGAAGGAATGGGAGGTAAAGAGGGAGAGAGCATGATGGATCAATCATCTGTTTCAGTCCCTAGACATCCACAGCGGCCAGGGCTGATCCAGCCAGAGCCCAGAACTCCGCCCAGATCTTCCATATAGGTGGTAGGATCCCAGGTACTTAGACCATCTTCTGAGTTTCCCAGGTGCATTGACCAGGGACCTGGATTGGCAGTGGAGCAGCCGGGCCTCCAACCAGCAGTACTCTGATATGGGATGCTGGTGTCTTAAGTGGTGGCTTAACTCACTACACCACAATGCTGGCTTTATATGATCTTTTAAAAATATATATTTACTTATTATCCAGTGACCTTACTAAAAACTTTGATTAGTTCTAGCAATTTAAATTGTTTTGGATTTTATGCTCATGATGCTATCATGTGAATATAATAGCTTTGGTTAGATTTTTTTTTTCTTAGAAGTGCTGATAGGAAACATCCCTTTCTTAACATCCCTTTCTACCACTAATATAAACAGAATTCAAAGTATTCTTGGGTATCTTTCAGCTTTTGTTTTCTATATTTCTGTTTTGAACCTCTTATAAACAGTGTTTAGTAGTGTCTTTCACCTTCATGCCATTTGATCTAGATTTTAACTTTGATTATAAATATATTTAGTGATTTTTTTTTTACCATCTTCTGTATTTTTCTATGCTCTTTGTCTTTTCTTTTGAGAAATTAAATTTCATAGCCTTTTCTCCACTGACTTAGAGGTTGGGTTTTTTTTTTTTTTATAAAGATTTATTTATTTGAAAGATAGTTACAGAGAGATCTTCCATCCAGCTGCTTAACTCCCCAAATGGCCTTAATGGCCAGAGCTGGGCCAGGTCGAAGCCAAGAGCTTCTGGGTCTCCCATGTGGATGGCAGGGACCCAAGTACTTGGGCCATCATCTGCTGCCTCCCACGGTACACGTTAGTGGGAAGGTAGATCAGAAGCAGAGGCAGCACTCAATTTCAGGCACTCGGCTATTGGGATGCAGGCATCCCAACAAGGATTAGCCCATTGTACCACAATGACACCCCCCCCCCCATGTGAAAAATTCAGTATGTGAATTGCTGACTAGTAAAAGATGATCACTAAAAGGGGGGGGGGGGGCAAAGAGGACCCTAAGGGACACAGAGTAGCCACTTCAGAAAGCAGATACTACTTCTAGGGTTGAGGAAGAATGAACAAGAAAGAGACTTAGAAACCTAGAAAGTGCCTCTCTCCAAGCTGATTCGGACCTTTGAAGAAAGGCCTGGCTGCCATAGGAACGTGCAACCGCCTTGTGGCCAAGAAACTTGCCCAGCTTGCTGCTGCGTGCTGCTGAAACAGGAAGGGCGTAGGCAGAGCGTGGGGGTGTGGCCAAGGGTAACCCTAGCCGTGCTTAGGTGGATGAGAACTGGCCCCACAAGCCAATCAGCTGACCCCTTGGAAGGCTGCTCTTAGCAGAGGAAAAGCCCGTTCTTCCTGCTGTAACTGGGTCCTTCCACCACCATCTAGCAAGCACAAGCCCACTGGCAAGAGATGTGTCCATTTGAAACTGCAAGATAATGAGTTAGCTGACTCACACACTTTCCTATTTTTAAAATAAGTAGCTTCCCAAACAAGGCCTGAACCTCTTCTGAACCAGCCTGTCCCTTCACAGCTGTTGGGACTTGGCATTGTAGTGCCACTTCTGTTTTTGAACCTTTACGAAAATCTTCACTTGGGTGTTTGGAGCAATTACGGCTTACTTGGGTTTCCCAGTGTGTGTTACAGGTTTCGTTGCTGCCCACTGCTGTGTGTTTTGTTCCACTGTTTTTGCCTGGGGGCTTCCCTTTAGTGGCAGTTTGCTGCTGCTCTGGTCCCGCCTGTGCCCTGCATGTGAGTGGCAACCCCGAGGACCCGTTTCAGGTTTGGCTCCATCAGGGCGTTACAGGGTCTGGGTTCTAAGCCAGTTTTCAACTTCTTTCCTCCTTTGGGGGTTTATGTACCAAGCTGATGGTGTGTAGCTCAGGCCCTGTGTTCCTGTGGGGCAGATTAGCTGACTGACCCTACCAGGTCCTTGTCCTCACTGACAGCCAACGTGTTTTCTGATGAAACACTTTCTGGATTTCTGGCCCCTCGTACAGGGCCTGCAGCCTCACCTCCCATGTGGCGTATGCTGAAATTCTTGTTTCCTTCGACACTTGAACTCCTTTGCACTGCTTTTGGTTTTCCTCTTTGGACTATCATTGGGAATTTCTTTGTTGCTTTACCTTTTTTTAAAACCATTTTTAATTGGCATAAAAATTGTACATGTTTATGAGCCTCAGTGTGATAGTGTATGAATACATTGTGTAATGTTCAAATCATGGTAAACACATCGCCTCAAACATCATTTCCTTGTGGTGAAAATATTCAAAATCCTTTTTTTGCAAAGTACATTGTATAGTTACTCTACAAAACGAGAGACCACCACAGCCTGCTTCTCCTTTGTAACTTAATATTCCATTGACCAGTCTTTCCCCACCCCTCCTTACCATCTGCTCCCCCCAGCCTCTGGTAACCACTGTTCTACTCTCGGATCCCATGTGTGAGGGAGGCCAGGCAGTATTTGACTTTCTGTGCCGGCTTACTTCACTAATGACCTACAGTTCATCTGTGTTGTCACGAATGACGTGATTCATTCTTTATGGCTGAGTGTTATTCCCTTGTGTATGTATGTCACATTTTCATCAGTTGACAGGCACTTGGTTTGCTTCCATTTCTTGGCTGTTGTGAATAATGGTGCTACAAACAGGAGTGCAGATGTCTCTTTAGTATACTGACTTTATTTCCATTGGATATAGACCCAGAAGAGCAATAGTTTTATTTTTAGCCTTCTGAGAAAATTCTATACTGTTTCTATAATGGCTATACTAATATATATTCCCACCATCAGTGACAGTGTGTAAGGGGTCCCTTTTCTCTGTATCCTTGCCAACACTTACCTTTGTCTTTCTGATAACAGCCATTCTGACTGAGGTAAGATGGTAGGTAGCTCGTGGTCTTGATATACGTTTCCCTGACAATTACTGCTGTTGAGCATTTTTTCCTGTACCCTATTGGCTACGTGGGTGTCTTTTGAGAAATCTGTTTAGGTTTATTGCCCTCCTTTTTCTTTTGCTATTAAGTATTATATATACTACGGATGCTAACCCCTTGTCAGATTTGGTTTTGCAAATATTTTCTTGTTTTCTGTAGGTCATCTACTTATTCTTTTTCCTGTGCCATACAGATGCTTTTTAGTTTAATAAAATCCCATTTGTCTATTTCTGCTTTTGTTTTCTGTGCTTGGAGTCTTATCCAAAAGACCTTTGCCCCTTCCAATGTCCTGAAATATTTCTCCTTTAAGTAGTTTCATCGTTTTAAGTCTTAGATTTAGATTTGTAACCTGTTCTGAGTTGGATTTTGTATACGGTGAGCTGGGGGATCTGGTTTCATTCTGAATGTGGCTAGTCCATATTCCAAGCACCCTTTATTGAAGATACCATCCTTTCTGCAATGCTTGCTCTTGGCACCTGTGTCCATATGAGCTGGCTGTAGCTGTGTGGGTCTAGTCCACCGGGCTATGTGTGTTTATGCCAGTAGCATACTGTTTTGATTACCTTTGTGTGGTACACTTTGAAATCAGGCACTAGGTGCTTCCTGCTTTCTTTTTGCTCAAGACAGCTTTGGCTCTTTTATGTGTATGGTTCTGTGTCAATTTTAGGATTGTTTTTTCTAGTTCTATGAGGAATGTATTACTTTTAATTGACCATGTTTAAAACGTCATGGTTCAACAAGGTCTGCTATGCATTTCGAAGAAGGTTAATCTTGATCAGAAATCAGTTTAGGGTTGCTAATCTTTAGGATATGATACATTTTCCGATCCTTTACCATTTTTAAGGCACATATCTAAGAGAAATTACTGTGTCATTGTGAGGTAGTCAGGATGGGCATCAAATTGCCCCATTTTATTAATTGCAGCCAAAATGAAAAGGGTAAACCATTCAAATAACTCAGAGTTCAAAGGCCAGTGAACAGAAACATTAAATACCAACCACTTTAAGGATTTTAACATTGCAAGCCTGGGAAATGCAGTGATGACTTTAGTATGTGCTTGTTTAACAGACAGCCTGGAGTCAGCAGGGCCTAGTATGTGGACTTGATGGAAAGAACATCATAGACAATTTACAAGGAAGAGTAACAGGACAAGATTTGCTTTAGGATGTTGCCCTTCTGAAAAGTGACAGCATAGGAAGGCACGGTGAGAACGGGCAAGTGATGACAGGGGTCTTGCTTAATTGAGTAAGAAAGAAGAAACGACCTCAACAGCACCTGTAAGAACTCAGAGGGGCCAACAAATCCATTTGATCTTACAAAGTCTGAAATGCAAGAGGAGCATTTATTTAAATACATGTTTTGCTTTTAACAAAGGTGAGCCAGCCATCTCTTAGAGAAGTGGGAATAAAATTCCTAAGCCATAGGAAGCTCCCTTTCTGTTCCAGCAGTTTCCACTGCCCTGCCAGAAGCATATTTAACTCCTTAAGTATATCACTGTAACATCATTGCCAGTACGACTCAGGTAGCAAAACACTCTGGGCAGGCAGGCCCCACAGGGGCAGCCAGAGGGCTTTGGCAGTATTAGTTGTGGGTTAAAAGTAACTGCCGGGGAACACTGGCGGCTGTTCTCCCCGTCAGCAAAGGACACTTGCTGAATTGGCACGTAATCACCTGCCAGTGACATACAGACACCAAAACTTTTGTCTGGATTTGAACAAATCTAATCAAGAGAAAGTTTGACCTGACATAACTCTACCTCTTCCTAATACTGTCCAGTCATGTGTCATGTCAGATGACTGTTCTGATTTAAATGACAATATATACATACACACATTAAATATATATACATTTTAACAAACATGGTAATATGTCTCATCAGCTTCTGGGCTGTCCATCTGGAGTCAGCTCATACCTGTAAGACAGTGGGTGGGACTCAGGTTAGCACTGTGGCAGTGACAGACTCAGGTAGGAAAGCCTTATGTGCAGGTGTTAATCCATCTCCTTTCTGGATAACCACACGAATTACCAGTGAGAAGGGAAGAACTTCGGAGGGAGATTACAGGTAGCTGTCTGAGACAAGCTGTTGAATAACTGACAGCAATAAAAGGAATAGGCTTGCTTACCATTGGGAAAAACCTTTAATCAGATCTTCTTTTGATAAGTCGATCAGGACCTAAATGATCAGAAATAATTAGTATAACAGTGCAGTCGATGGATATTACTGGATAATCTGAACTCATCATGAAAGGGTGTGAGTTCTGAGCAGGGGCTGTCAACATGGAGCCTCTCCCCAGGGCACAGGCACTAACCCAGGCTGTTTTAAATTTTCACTTTATAGTATAACTAAAAAAGGGAAAGGTTTCCTCCTCTATAAAAAGGAATATACTATCTACTTTAAAATAAGATTTATAAGATGTGTTGATTAAAATAACACCTTCTCCCTTTTTGTTTCTGTTTAGCATCTTCCAGGTGATGTTACCCCAACTTCCCCTTCAGTAAAATCCCATCTAATCTAGTCTTGATCTAATGAGTCCTGAACTCTATACAATGTTGTATTTGTCAAATTTGTAACACCATGGCTCTTCAATACTTGTGGAATACTGAATTTAGATTCTTGGTTGGTAAAAAGGCTTTATCATATTAAAAAGCCTCCTGGTAGGCATTCAGTTCAGTGGTTGACGCCAGTTGGGACACCACATCCCATACTGGAGTCTCAGCGCCACTCCCCCTCCAGTTTCCTGCTAATGTGTACCCTGGGTCTCTCCCACCCACAAGGGAGACCCAGATTTGAATTTTCAGGTTCTGGCTTGAGCCAGGTCCAATCCTGGCCCTTGCAGGCATTTGGGGAGTGAACAAGAAGAGAGATCTATCTACCTTTCTGATAAATATACAACCCCCACTAAGGCTGTACCCTGCTTGTTTTAGGAACAGCCAGAACAGGTCAGGTTTTCTGCAAGGATGCGTGCCACCCCTGAATTGTAAGGAGGGTAGCAGGAGGGGTGGAGTCCTGCTCTACTTACTTTTCCTAACTCCTTTCTTCTGTGTGAGCCCAGTGGCCGACTGTTTTTCACTGCAACATCTAGTGACCTCTTCTTGACTTCTTCCAAGGGAACAAAATATTCAAATCTTTAAGAAGAGAACATTCAGGGGATTAGATTGTCAACAAAAATAAGCGAAGGACATAACTTAAGTGTTTCATTCATTTCTCTACTAAGAGCATCTAGAACAGCACTTGCTTGGAGGGACTCAATGCATCATCGTTACAGGTATCTCTGTGCTGTGTTGTTCAGACCCTGAAAGTGTCAAGAGGCACTTCTGTGGCTTGGGGTCTGTGCTGCTGCTTTACTGACAGCCTCCTGTGGAGTGAGGCAGAGGCATCCGAGGTCTGGGCTTTGTCACGCAGCCCAAAAATGCCTCTGGATATGCCAGCATCCCATGTAGGTGCCGGTTCGAATCCTGGCTGCTTCTCTTCCAATCCAGCTCCCTGCTATGGCCTGGGAAAGCAGTGGAAGATGGCCCAAGTCCTTGGGCCCCTACACCCATGTGGGAGACCTGGAAGAATTGGCGCAGCTCCGGCCATTGTAGCCAACTGGGGAGTGAACTAACGGATGGAAGACCGCTCTCTCTGTAACTGACTTTCAAATAAATTAAAAAAAAAAAAAAAAGCCTCTGGATTCCTTCTGAGGTTTACTCTCAGGGCAGGGAGGTGCCAGGTCTACCCTCCAGCTACTGAGGCTTATCTTGCCAAGCCTCAGCGGAAAAGGAAGCGCATCCCTTGTCCTGCCACCTGTGGCTCTGCTTAAGGCGGAGGAACATCAAACAGCTTAGAACTTTGGAGTAAATTTTAGGTCCTTAGTTTCAATAAATGTGTAACTTCTGAAATTAAGATAGATCCAAAAATTAAAAACACAAGAATTTGACCAGGGCCAAATCCTTTTACTACCTAAGACAGAGTATGCAACAGTCCATGATTAACAACACTCAGGCATAGGGGCAGTAAAGATAGGTGGCCGTTTTGCTGCAGTGCCCTGGCTGTCCCTTTCTCCCATCAAGCTGTGTACAGACTCTTCCTGAAGCCAGAGATCACACTGTCTGAGCCAGCTCTGGCTCCTCCCAGAATCTGCCGGGCACACAGCAGGTGCTCCACCAGGTCCTGAACGGCCAGGGCATTCCCTGCAGGCCAGCAGCCTACTTACGTCTCGTCGAACAGGGGCTCCAGGGTCTTCCGCTTCACTGAGGTCTTCCTACGACTCGCCCACCTCCTTTCTGGCAACAGGTAGACACGGACGTAGGGGTCAGCCCCGCTGCTGGTACATGGTGTCAGGTTTCTGTTTTGGATTTAAAGACAGGCGAGGAAAAGACCCTGGCTTTCCCACAGTGGAAGGACACCTGTGGGAGCATTCAGCTTCCAGTGGGCTCAAGGATCCAACTCTTGTCTAGAGGACGAAAACGTGGAAGTCTGCAGGGTTTCGAGGACAACCTAGCAGGTGCGTGGCTTTTGAGGTTGGGGACTGCCACTTAGGAAGATGGGGCTGCCGCCCCCACGAGCAGGTTCACAGTGCCTGCGTCGGAGCAGAGGACCTCGTGCACTGGGCGGCCTTCACAGCTCCTGCTTCCTCAGGTTGCTGAGCTACCTTGGGGCTCCCAGTGCCCCACTCTCCCAGGGCGGGCGCCTGGCAACCCCCAAGTCCCCTCACCTGCAGCCATTGATCAGCACGCGGAGGCAGCGTCGCAGACACACGTAGCGCACCGTGAGCCGCACCTCGCCCAGCCGCCGCTGCCTGCCATCCTCGCCTCTGGAAAGAGAGGCCTTGTTGTTCTTGTCATCACAGGTGCTGGCCCTCTCCCCTGTCCCCCACCCAGAGAAGCGGCTCCTCCTTGAGGGACACAGAGCCCTGAGGGTCAGCACAGTCGCTCAGTAAGGTTCTTTCCAGCTGGGAGTCAGGTGCACACAGCGCTCACTCTCCACGGTGGGAAGAGTGTGGGCCCTGGAGGGGGCTGTGCCTTTGTAAGCATGACTCCTCGCGGGGATTTCTTCAACCCTCTCCTGTAGGGTTCCTGTGAATACTGGATTCAAGCAGATAGCATGCTGAGTCCGTCATAAACACTACCTGGTAGCCACTGATTACTTAATTCCATAGCTTGATCCCAGTAAAGCTCTAGAGTTCAGCAAATGTTCCTGCTGGCAAGGGCCCTCACCACCCCAAAGGCAGCATCTGTGCCAGTCGGTTCGTGTCAGAGCCATAACCAGGCTGTATGGCTCGAACTCTCCCCTGCCCTAGGCTCCTTCTACCCCACCACGCTGCCTCTCATGAAGACCTTTTGTGGAAAACCAGAACTTGCACGGACATTTAATAAATACTCTCATCTACGTTTCTGGTCAGGGCAGTATTTTTCACGCAGGTGAGCTGAGAAAAGAGGAAGCAGAGAGGTGCATACTCGGTGTTGAGGCTGACATCTGTCAGGTCAAAGCAGGAAGAGGCCAGGGAGCTGAGTGAGGCCATGCTGGGAGCCAGCCTCTTGGGCGGCCATACGAATGGGGAGGCAGGGCCTTTCACGGGCCTGGGTGACTTGATGGGCCCTGGAGAGTGGGGGCCTGGGACAGTCAGGAAGATGGTGGCTGGGCTCTTCTTCTCCCCCAGGGGCTCACAGAACCCTTTGGCACTGTCCTTGCCTTTGGGCCCTGGGCCCTTCTCTTGGGGTAGGGGCTGGGTGGCAGCAGTGCTGGTACTGCTGGCGGCTGGGGTGGTCTCGGAGACTTCCTGGGTGGCAGGAGCAGAGTCCAGGGGTGGTGGCAGATCAGCAGGGCCTTCTTCGTGGCATGGGGCTTCGGGACCCTGGCTGGTGGCCACCTTCTTGATGAACAGAGGGCCTTTCTTTAGGGCTTCAGGGCCCGTGTATGGGCTCCCCAGCTCTCGTTCCTCCACACACAGGAACTGCAAGCAGATCACAGGGTGGTTTATGGGGTACACCCTCCACTTCTGCAACGCCAGCCATGTCTGTCTGATTCCTCATTTCCCCTCAGTTGTCAATTATCAAGACCCTTCCCAAGGGATTTCCATTTCCAAATACCCTGAAAAAGCTCTTGTTAGAAAACAAAAGGAAACAAACATCCTTTTAAATGCATAGCCAGACTCACAAGAAAGGAAGGGTACTTCGATTTTTTTCTCACAAAAATAAAAGCCTTCCCCAGGTCATTTTAACAACCTCAGAATTCAAGGAGTCAGGACAAGGTGAGGCTGGGAGTTGAAACAAGACCCATAAAGATGGGATTTATTTAGTGAAAAAAGTAGAACAAAAATTCCACCCACCAGCAAAGAAAGACCAATGATAAGATGTCTCTCACCTGTACTCTGGTTGGGGGTACAAAGTCTCCCCTAAGAATATGACCCTTAAAGTCTTTATAATCTTTATATAAATTTTGAGTTATTTATATTACCTGTGGGGTCTTTTTTAAAAATTTATTTGACAGGTAGAGTTATAGACAGAGAGAGGCAGAGAGAAAGGTCTTCCTTCCTTTGGTTCATTCCCCAAATGGCCGCCACGGCCCGGTGCTGCACTGATCTGAAGCCAGGAGCCAGATCCTTCTTCCTGGTCTCCCATGTGGGTACAGGGGCCCAAGCACTTGGGCCATCCTCCACTGCCTTCCTGGGCTACAGCAGAGAGCTTGACTGGAAGAGGAGCAACCGGAACTAGAACCCGGTACCCATATGGGATGCCAGTGCCGCAGGCAGAGGATTAACCAAGTGAGCCATGGTGCCAGCCCTACCTGTGCGATCTTGAAACCCAAAGTTGGCCGGCGCCGTGGCTCAATAGGCTAATCCTCCGCCTAGCGGCTCCAGCACACCGGGTTCTAGTCCCGGTCAGGGCACCGGATTCTGTCCCGGTTGCCCCTCTTCCAGGCCAGCTCTCTGCTGTGGTTCGGGAGTGCAGTGGAGGATGGCCCAAGTGCTTGGGTTCTGCACCCCATGAGAGACCAGGATAAGCACCTGGCTCCTGCCTTCGGATCAGCGCAGTGCGCCGGCCGCAGCAGCCACTGGAGGGTGAACCAATGGCAAAGGAAGACCTTTCTCTCTGTCTCTCTCTCTCTCTGTCCACTCTGCCTGTCAATAAATAAATAAATAAATAAAAGAAACCCAAAGTTGAGAAATTAACAAAAACAGACCCTGATTTGTAATGTCCCTGGAAGTGCTTGGGAGAGAACAGCCTTAATCTAGGTCATAAAGGGACACTTGGATTTGGAACACAAGTTACAAAACATGGAACTGAGTCACCATGAATAAACATCAACAGACAAACATTAAAGTTTAACTCCCAAGATCTCCGGATTATAAGTATTTTCAAAAGACTAGAGATGCAATATAAGTATTTGAAGATTAAAAAAAAAAACTATGAAAAGAGACTAGGTGAATTTGGCAAACATGAAAAATTGCCATTGAGATAAAAACTGAACAGGTTAAATAGCAAACTAGGAATAGTCAAAGAAAGAATGAGTAATCTGGAAGGTAGCTCTGAGGAAATCAGTGTGAGGCACTGTGAGATACAGAGATGGGAGATGTGAAGATGAACTTAAAAGGAACAGAAGACAGGTGAGTGTCTAGCATAGAAGTTCTAGAAAGGAGGGATTGGAAAAGAATGGGATAGAGGCAACATTTGAAGTGATAACAGCTGACAGTATTCTGATGAAAAAAATGAATCCATCTCCTGGCCTCACTGGGCTTAGATTTGGGTCAATCCTCCTTGCTCCACAGCCAGAGCTCCACACTCCCCTCCCCCAGGGGATGGGAGAAACTTACCCGAAGAACCAGCCTCATGGAGATGAGGCTGTCCAAGCCCGAGTGGTCCAGCTGGAAGCGCTGCTCGAGAGTGAGGTCGGCGTAGGGGAGGAGCTGGCACAGGGGAACGTCCAGCACTCCCAGAGCGCACTCCTGGTTGTCATCAAGCACCTGGGCGCAGCCAGTCACAGAACAAGAGCGTCACCAAGCAACCCGGGCCCACCTCACTAAGTACGGACTCTGGGGATCTGCTTCTCTTTTGGGGACTGAAGAGGGGCTGGGCCAGATACGGTCTCTGCCTTCAGTCCGAGGAGAGAGTGACTCGGGGGAGGCAGTTACGATCTGCCTTGGGGCCGCTCTGGGCTATGTAACAATAAGTCCCCTTCTGCAGGGAGAGCCCAGGGACTTGAGGGTCGCTTCCTACGTCATGATCCTGGCCACCATCTTCAAGGATTTGAGCCATGTGGGGCCCGAGTATCCTCTTCCACACCTAAAATCCTGCCAGGGGAATCTGCTCTTCAAGCGGCCCACCCTCCTGGCTTAGAAACCCTGGTGCTCTGTTCCAAGAGCGCAACTTCCCGCAAACCTTCAGATGGAGCCGCTCAGCCGCCACGTTGTGCACAAAGAAGGAGAACGCCTGGCTCCACACAGGGTCCTTGCTGTGGGGACAGGTCTGCGAACAGAGCGGAAGGGTCAGGGTGGCCGGACCACGGGCCACCGGCACCCTCTGCTGTCGATCTGGCTACCAGGTCCCACTGGGAACCGCACCTGTGGCTGTCAAGGATCACACCCACCCATGCTACAGCAAGGGGTGGCACCAGGGTGGGACAGCCAGGCCCCAAAGCGAGCAGTGCTTCGCCATGGTCATGCTAGCATTAGAGCTCACTCCAGGCAGGGGACCGACAGGGACGTTGCTGGACTGAGATACCCCAGGGGTGGACATGGGCTTCAGAACCACGCCTGGACTTGAACCCTCATTCTGCCACTCTGTGCCTTGTGCCATGGAACTTATCACTGATCTTAAACCATACAGATTCCATGAGGTATCGTGCAGACTAAATAAACTGTGTACCTGGCCTTCAGTGCCAATGAATTCCCTTTCCCAGGCCGTCTTACCTTGCTCGTGTATGTCTTCTTGCCTACAGACAGCTTGACGTAGGAAGAAGGGTCTCTGCTGACCTTGTTCTACGAGGGCAAATTCACAGCAACAAAGGAGCTGTCACCAGCTTAAGACCACCCTGTGCCCACCCTCCAGAAACACCGGGAGACCTGGGCCAGTCTGTGCTTCCCTGGAGAAGCTGCCCTGGTCCTGCCGGGCCCCCGTAGGTCCCAGGACTGAGCCAGAGAGAGGCTCCGAGTTACAGTCCGGAGGCCCGAGTGGGCGCGGGCTTCTGTTCCCTGGTGCTATGGAAACACTGGCGTCGGGTTTTGGCTCCTCATGGCTGAGGGACTCAGCCACTGACTTTCGGGGTTCAGTCTGTAAAATGGCACTAAGACCCGACACAGTCATCCTGGCACGCAGGGACAAGCAGTGGGGGAACAAGTCCCCGAGGCCAGCGGACGGCACCTCTCGTTGCCCCCAGGCTGGTGTGCACAGACCAGGGGCCGGGGCTTGCTCCGGGGGAAAGGAGCTGTCATTCATCCTCCTCCGAGTTCCCAGCCACACGCACACCTACCCTGGCAAATCTGGAGAGTTTGCGGGCTCGGTATTCACCGTTCAGGTAGTCGAAAGGGCTTCTCTGCGGCAAAGAAGTGGGTTAAAGCCACGCACGGACACTCGAGAGCGATGGGCACAGGCAGGGGGTGTGGGGGCCGCTCACCGGCAGGTTGCAGGCGCTCTCCAGGAAGACCATGAGGATGGCAGTGGCGAGGCCGCCAGGGTCCTGCAAACAGACACAACGCCCTCGCCAGGTGCCCCAACAGTAGGAGCCACTGGTTTTGGAGAAAACTACTTGCATTTGCACGGGAAGCCAGCCGACCCTCTCATGCACACTTAGCTGGCAGCATGACAAGTTCAAGGTCGACACAGGTGGATCCCCCCCCAGGAACTGGGCCGGCAGGCGCTCCGGGTCACAGGTCTCTAAGCGCCCAGCTTCCCCAAGGCTGGCCGAGATGCTCAGAGGCCATTTGTCAAGATCAGGCGCTGCCCTGGGTGAGACGGGGCTCAGCGGCCCGTTCTCTAGGAGGGGCGCAAGAGCTGGGGGGTCATCTCCCTGCCCCCACCTTTCTGCTGGGGAGCCCTCGCCGCCTCACTCACCTCAGTCAGCGCTGCCTGGTCAGTGAGCAGTGAAAGCCACTCAAGTCGCAGGTGCAGCTGCCCGCTGGTTGTATCGTTCAGGACAAACCACTGCAGGGCGGGGTGGGAGAAGACAGCTCTGGGAAGGGGCCAGGGAGACCTGCAGAAGGCGAGCCAGCCCACACAGGTGCACCCTGGCCCAGAGGGACCCGGGTGGCATTACAGGAGGGCACAGGGGCTACACTGGCATGGAAAAGCCCAGGCCCAGCCTGCCGACTGGCCCCTGCTGGGGGCCCCAGTCTGTGGGCACTTCCCAAGGAAGCTTCTTCCAACACAGGCTGTGGGGGGCGATGCCCTGGCAGCACTCTGCCTCACCCAGCTGTTGTCCCTGAGGACGGGCATCCGTGCAGCCCCACCTGGAGAGCCCACTTCCTGGGACTGTCTGGGCCGAGGCAGCCTGCTGGAGCTGGCCAGGGACAGGGGGCCGCGCTGAGCCCGCCCTTCCCCAACCCCCCAGACACGGGCAACAACTCTACCTCATCCACCACTCTGTTGGTCATGACGTCCTCCAAGCAGATCTGCAGGCTGGACACACAGGGAGAAGGGAGAAGGGGTCAGTGCCGCCCAGGGGCCCACCCTGGACGCTGCAAACTTCCGCACAGCTCAGGGGACCGGGAACGAAGCAGCATCTTCGTGCCGAGGAACCAGCAGGAGACCCAGTGCAGCCCACGTGGAGGGAGAATGAGCTGACCTTCAGGGCTGCTTGCACTGAGCATGCCACGCAAGGAAGCAGCTGGCTCCCTACCCTCCGGGGACAACAGGGCCCCTGGCAATCCTGTGCAGAATCGGCCTCCCAGTCCCCGTGCCCTCTGAATGACCACGGTGCCACCTCCCACAGTCACTTCTCTTTTGAGCAATCCCAGATGCCCCTCCACTTCCAGAACGGCCCAGACAGCCTGCACGGGATGCGTGCAGTTGGCACGTGTACACACGTGTACACAGGTGACAGGCATATCCCAGCCCCCAACCAACCGGGACCTGACAGCGGAGGGAGAAAGATGATCCTATGTATCTGTTAGATGTGTGCTCAAACTCGGCACACCCCTTATAAACTGTGAACCCCCAGCCACGCTTCTAATCTGGAACAGGTCAAAAAATTGCAGCTTTTATCACAAAGAGGAAAAATGCTAAGAACCAGCTGCTGGCGAGCGGTTCCTTAGGTGGCCAGGCTCTGCCCCAACCCCACACTGTCCCGAGTCTGCCTCTCCGACTTCCATACTTGTGGAAACACACCAAGGAACACAGGGGTGTGAGGGTTCAGGTGAAAGTCCCTTCGGTCTCGCCATCTGAGGTCAGCAGTGCTGGCTGCCCGTGTGCACCTTGCACGCCCCTCTCTGCTGGCATCTGCACAGGCGCCCCCTTCTGCATACGTCATGGGTGCCCTGCTGGCAGCGTGCACATGCTGTCCCTGATCTCAAGAGCTGCAGAACATTCTGCAGTGTGGCGACCGGGCAGCCATTCAAATGGCCAGCCAGCATCCTGTGAGGCTGGGCATGCACGCTGCTGGCAGTTTTTGCTGTACTGCCACGAGTACTGGGACCACAGGCGGTTCAGGGTTTCATAGCCAGCCCCACCCGGGCCATCTCAGTCTTCCAACTGCCCTGAGGCTCTGAGTTCTGCCCCAAAGGCAAGGGCCAGAGGCCTCTGGGCCTGGGCACGTGGCCCCCCTGCCATCCTTGCCCACTGTTCCAGATGCGGACTCGGGTCCATTTTTGGGAAGCAGAAGGTAGAGTCACAGATACACAGCCTTGGAGTCCTCTCTGTACCTCTCAGGGTCCAGGCCAGGGCTGGGCACCCCGGGGAGGGGGGACATCTGAGATGGAGGACCGCCTGCCTAGCAGTCAGGTCGTCGGTGAGCACAGGGCTGTGCTGGTCACCAGGCAGCAGGAGGGGAGGCCGTCCCAGCACCCAACTCTGCCTCACCTGCCCAGGAAGTCGTCCCTATCGGGGTCCTCATCATACAGGTCCACCTCCAGGTCCTGCCCGGGGACTTCGTACACCATGAACTGGAAGGGAGAAGAGGCATCCTGGACCTGCGGGCTATGATGGCTGGTGAATCTGACGTCATGTAGGACGTCACAGGAGCCACATTCCCGCTGGGAGCCCCGGCAGGCTCCTGGCCTTAGGGATGGCTGTGACCCACGGGCCGGTGAGGAGGCTCCGATGCGGCACACGCAAGCCCCCTGTCCTGGCATTGCCCCAGCCCTGGGGGATGCTGGGAGAACAAGGCCCTCCCTCCCGGGACCGGAACGACCCCCCAGCGCAGCCTGGAGGGACCCGCGGGTGCTGGGTGAGGAGCTCTCACCTCAAACACCTCATTCCAGGTGGGGCTCAGGTTCCTGTAGACAGTCCTGCTCCGGAAGTGCTGCAGGCCGATGCTCACCTTGGCGTAGGGGTCTGACTTGCCCCCAAGCCCCAGGAAGTTGTCTTTCGGAGCCAGCTTCTCCGCCTCCAGCAGGTGGACTCTGATCGCCCCCTGGAAAACCCCCAGCCCGGGGCTCACAGCTACTTCTTCCTGCGCCATGCAGGCCCTCGAGGTCCGACAAGTCACAGCCAAAGCCGGCAGATGGCCCCGGCCCGGGTCCCACCCACTCTGTGCTCTGCACAGAGACACCTGTGCCCCTGCGGCCACACAGCAATGGCAGGGCCCAGAGCACGCTGCGCCACACCAGGAGGCCCTGCCCATGTCTCTAGCCTTCCACACTTGCCTCCATGCTGCCATGGGAATGGCTCTTCGGCCACGGCGCTCTGCCCCTCCTGGCACAGCCGTGCCGCCCTCTGGGGAATCCGCGTGCAAGCTGAGTCCTGGCCTCACTTCCTCTCCATAGCCTGGGCATACACGCCATGTGCACTAGACTCAGAGAGGCCCACACCAGGGAACATCCCCTCTCCCCACACCGGATGTTATCAAAAAGGATAAGGTGGGGCAGCATCGTGCAACAGATAAAGCTGCCGCCTGCAGTGCCAGCATCCCATATGGGCACTGGTTCGGGTCCCAGCTGCTCCACTGCCAATCCAGCTCCTGCTATGGCCTGGGAAAGCAGTGGAAGATGGCCCAAGTCCTTGGGCCCCTGCACCCACGTGGGAGACCCAGAAGCAGCTCCTGGCTCCGGATCAGCGCAGCACAGAGCTGTTCGTTTCACGCCTATTTGTAAGAGCAAAAGACCAGGCACAGCTTAACTGTCCCTCAGCGGGCGACTGGCTGAGTTGGCTTCAGTGCATCGCCATACCCCATAGTGGGGTGCTTTGTAGCAGTGCAAAAAAATGAGCCAAGTCTCTACCTCCAGTCACGGCGTGAGCCTCAGGATGGATTCGGCCGAAAAGCAAGGTGGGGGAACGGTTCCAGGCTGCTGCCTCCACCCGCGGTGGGGGCAGGAGTAGGAGCACACCTGTATACACCCTCAGGGCAGAGGGCTTTAGTCATCAGCACACAGTGCTGGTGCTTCCATCGGAATGACAGGCGTGCCATGCACATGGTGGGGGGGGGGGGGATGGGGACAAAGCCACCATGCGGTAAAGACAGAGGGACCCGTGTGCCCCTGCCCCAGGCACAGGCCAGGCAGCCTCACACCTGGCACCACTGGCAAAATGGGGGGATTTCCCTCTTCCTGGGGCCCAGACTCCCAGCCCCAGGCCCACAGCCAGGTGTCCTTCTGTATGGAGGGCCCAAGGCGCCTCGGGCCTCCTGAGCTGGGCCCCCGGTGAGGAGGACAGTGGGGCTCACTGCCCAAGGAGTCCTGCTCCCGGGTGGACCCAAAGACTTGTCCCAGTGCCCAGCTGGTGCAGTTGGCCCCAGAGTTAGTTCCATGGTGGGGAGGTTGGCAGTGGCTGCCTGTGGTCCCACAACATGACCCACGCGGGGGACCAGGAGCCCCTGGGCAGATGCCACCCAAGGTTCGGCCCCTTGCCAGACTGGTGACTCTGGGCAGGTCTTCAGCTTCCCCAGCCTTGGGGGCCTGCCCTGTGAAATGGGGGTGCATGCAAGGTGTGGGGCACTCCCCCCTCCAGCCGGGGGGGCAGTGTTTGTTTTTGAAAGGCGGAGAGAGACAGAGACACACGGATAGATCTTCCAACTGCGGGCTCTCTCCCATCTGGGGCTGGGCCAGGCCAAGCCCAGGAGCTGGGAATTCAACCCAGGCCTCCCATATGGGTGGCAGGGGCCCAACCACACGAGCTGTCACTTGCTGCCTCTCTGGGTAAGCATCAGCAGGAGGCTGGAATCGGAGGTGGATCCAGGACTCAAACCCAGTGACGCTTATGTGGGCATCACGTTGTCCGGGTCACCAGCCCACCCATCCATCCCGCCACGCTGGGGCTGGTGGTCTGTGGCCGGTGCTGGGTACTCACGCAGGGCAGAGGGAAGCGCAGGTTGGTCACGTCCAGCCCCTTCTTCACAGGCAGAGTCACGCGGTTGGGCAGCACCAGGTGGGCAGCGATGAGGTCCTCCAGCAGGCTATCTGACACCTCGCTGCGACACCAGGCAAGACCCGCTGTGCAGGGCGACAGGACCCCCCCCACCCCCCCGCACCTGTCCCCAGAGCTGGAACCAAGAGCCCAGCTTGGCAGGGTGGGTGTCTCGTCTCTGTGCCGAGAGGGCAGGAGAAGCCAGGGCTTTGCAGAGGCCCCAGCCGGGCTGCAGAGTCTCCCACGGGCTCCCCAGCACTCACTTGATCCCCGGCGCATCCAGCAGGTTGGTCAGGCCCGTCCAGTTGATCTGCAGGTGCTGTAGGAGCGGGGGTGGGGGGGTGGGGAGATCAACGAGGAGGAGGGAGATCACTGAGGGAGCCCAGCGCTGGGAAACCTCTGCTGAAGGCATCACCCCCAGGGGAGACCCCGCCCACGGGGGGACACCCTCTGCGGGGACTCAGGCAGGTGAGGGCGCCTCCTGGCCCCGCGCAGGCCCCAGAGCAGGGCAGGCGCAGGCCTTAGCTCCTACGCTGCGCTGAGCGTGTGCAGGACCATCTCAGAGCCCAGTTTCCCAGCTGGGCTTGGGCGGCCTTGCACTCAGTCCACGCGGCTGGGCCGGTGTCTATTGCCAGGGCCCGCAGGGACTCACCGGCTTCTGAAGGAAGAACATGGTCACAGCGCCCACAAAGGGCTTGTCCACCAGCAGGGGCTCCAGGATGACCCGCAGGGTGCCCTGCAACTGAACAGGCCGCAGCCCGTGAGGGAGCGCAGCTCCTCCCCCCCCCACCCCCCCCCCCCCCGTGCCCTGCCGCCACCTCTCACTCCCACGCCAGCTCCAGAGGAGAGCAGCCCAGTGCCTCCACCCACCTGGATCCCGTTCACGCCAGCGTGCATCTTCTGCAGCTCCACGCTGATCTCACAGTCGCCGATGTAGCTGCAAGAGGGGAGGGGCAGTGCACCCGCTCAGAGAGGTCAAGAAACTTGCCCAGCGTCACACAGCTGGATGCCCAGGGTGGCCTAGGGCCTCCTTTATAGCCTCAGCATTTCCCAGCTCTGCCCGGACCCTGACCCAGGTCCTCACCCTGGGAGGGAGCTTCCCAGGAGCCTGCTCCCAAGTAGCCGAGGCAGGCCCCCACCTCTGACCCATGAGGGCAGTGACTCTGGGCACGACCTGGACCCTCGACACCTCCCGGATGAGAAAGACAGGCTCTTGCCAAGTGCCCTGCCCACTGTGGCCATGCGCCCCTGAGGTCCCAGGAGCAGCCCCCACCCGCACATCCAGGTAGGCAAAGGGAGAGTCCAGCTGGCGGCTCCGGCCAGGTGATGGGCATAGGGAGCCCAGAACAGGTGCCTGTGGGGTCAGAGGACTGAAAGAAAAGACCCAGGGTGGGAGAGGCTGCAGTGAAACACCCCCCCCCCCAATGCAGTGAGTCCCTCAGGCACCGGGTGCCCCAAAGGGGTGGGGGCAGGCAGGAGGGGAACAGGGGGCTGCCTGGGCTGTGGGGAGGCTGAGTGGCCCGGATGATCCCCTCATGCCCCAGCTATTCCCACAAGGATCTCCCGGCAGAGCCGAGGGGCCAGATGCTCCTGGTAGCAGCGCGCTACCCCAGCACACCTGAGACCAGCCCCTCAATGGGGATGGGCCCCAGAACTGGTTGCACTCTTCCCTGATGTGCTCTCAGTGCTGGCATCTGGCTGATGACAGCAAATGTGAGAAGCCGGGAAGGAACGGAGACTTTCTGGAACCTTGCACAAGTCACATCACCACCTCCAGGAAGACTTCCTGGCTCGAACCTCCCTTTTTCCTGACTCAAGCCCATTACCAAGCTCATTCGAAAGAGATGCACTCGCCCAACCTGCAAAGCTGGTCGCCCATGTATCTCTATATCCTCAGGCTCCCCGGGTGGGCCCCAGTGCCCAGGGCGGCCCCTCTCACAGCCTGTGCTCAGAGCCCCCACATCCCGCTGCACCTGCTCCCTCTGGCCACAGCCTCTGAGGCAGCCTGTCTGACCCTGCTCGTGACCTTCTAGAACTTTGCCAAGGATGAGAGATGCCATGCCTGGGGCGAGGGGCCAGACAGCCACGGCAATGCCCGAGGACCAGTGTCTGTCCATCCGTCCTCCTGCTACCCCTCCCCGCCCCTCAAGGCGCCCTAATTCAGAGTGTAACATATCCAAACCTCCATCTTCAAATGGGTGCAGAGCAGCCCCTGCACCCCGGATGCCACACCTGACCGCCCAGGCAGGAGGGAGGGCTCACCAAATCTGCAGGTCCAGGGTCACCTGTCTTCGGTTGCGTCTGTTGGTGTGCGCCTTGACGCCATTGATCCTGGGGCACTGCAGGAGATGCCAGGAGAGGGGCTCAGTCAGCAACCGCCACAGCCCTCCTCCGTCTCCCCTCTACTCTGCACCAGGGCTGCGCTGCGGAGGAGGCGGGGCGGAGGCTGCCCATGTGGGCTTGGAGCCCAGCCCAGGAGACGGATGGGGCGGGGGAGCTGTGAGGAGTGGCCCACACTGTCCCATGGGCTCTGGGGGTGGGCAGGTGGGGAGGGCTCTGGGAGAGAGCAATGTTAAACCAACTCAGGCCCCAGCAGGGCAGGGCGAACAGGAGCGTCTTAAGGGTCGCGGGGACACACCAGGGTCGCGGGGACACACCAGGGTCACGGGGACACAACCTACAGGGCCACCAGTCTCCCTGCCAAGGCCCCAGCTCCCAGGGGACCCTTCTTCTGTGTTCAGTTTCCCCCTCTGCCCAGTCTCCCCTCCCCTGCCAGGGATCAGAATGGGCTCTGGTTATCGTTTATAAAGAACATAAACGTGAACTTGATTTGAATTCGAGTGACGGTCACAGGCACCTGCTCGTTAGTTTGAAATACGGTTTTGAAAAACCAACAGAGAGATAGACGCATGGCTTTGTATTGAAGCCACTCACCCTGCTCATAAGGAAACACTGGAGAAAAATCCAGTCTTCCCCAGAGGAGAGCGCCCCCGCACCCTCATCCTCTCCCCAGAATGCAGTATTTACAAGCACACTGTCCCATGCAAGTCTTTTTCGTCCAGAGCGAGAAGGTGGGAGAGAGAATCACAGAGCGTGACAGGCAGTTCATCAGAAACAGTAGCTTTGCCAGAGTTCACCAAACGTCAGCTTTTTAACCCCGAAGGCTCGCCATGATTTATTTTCCTGTATTTGTTTCAGGGTCGTGTTTGGCTTACTTTTGCATTTTTAACTTCATAACCTTTAAGAGGGTCCCCAGAATCGTAGAAGCCTCTGTTACCCTGCTGTGGCCCCAGTGGAAGCCCAGGTTGGTCACTAGGGCCCCTCAGCTAGGGCCTGCTCCTGGGGCAGGGAGTGGCTCGCCCAGCAGTGGCAAAGCTCAGCCAGTCCCATGGCCATTGTCATCTGCAGGGACACGTCCTGGAGGAGGCCGCCTGCCCCTAAGCCCCTGTGCTGTGACAAGCCAGCCAGGGCTCCATTTAGAGAGGGGCACCCAGTGGGGCTGGGCCTCCCCCAGCCCCTGCGGCCCCAGGCCATTTGCACAGCCATCCGGAGCAGCCAGGGTGGGCCTGCGCAGCCACACCTCACAGTCACCTTCAGCATTGGGTCCTTTTCTTGCACACTGGAGGGTACAGGAGCTCCCAGAGGCTGAGACACTGGCCCAGGTCACCACAGCACGGAGACACCAACCACCGCAGTGAAGGAAGGGGGTGTGGCCGGCGCTCTGGACCCCACATGAGAAGGAGGGGGAGGCGGGATGGAAGAGCAGAGGATGGGGCTGGGATGAGGAGTTAGGTATTCCTGACCCCAAGCTGGGACACCTGAGGCCATCAACGTGGCCCCTGCGGTCACCCAGCAGTGCTACCTGCCATGACACCACTGCCACAGGGGCAGTTTGGCTGTGCTGAATTCTTCACTCAGTTGCCACCTCCTCCTGGGGGTCTTCCCTGACTACCACAGACACTGCAGGTTTCCATCTGTGAGCTCATGCATTCCTCTACTGTTGTGGAGACACACCGCCCCCCCCCATGCTGCCGCCCACGTGTGCCTCCTGAAGGCAGCAGCGTGGCCACACCTGACTCTGTCCATGGTGCCTAGCTCACAGCGCATGCTCAGTAAGATGCACAGGCCCGCGCACCTGAATCTACAGATCCCGCGACAAGCCAACCCTGGTGGGGCCGCAGTGCCAAAAACCAGAACCTTCAGGGCACAGGCACACCTAATCCACCCCCAGCTCAGAGCGCTCTCCGCCTGCACCCGACCTCTGCTGGTTCCAGAGCAGACTGGACGCCAGCAGCTGGGGCTTACTATGCTGGGGGACACACTTTGGATGCCAATGGGACTCCTATCACAGTGCACTTTGGGGCAGGAGGAGTGGGGCCCACAGGGGAGACGGGGAGCTCAGTCTAGCACAGGGGCCAGGAGCTGAGGGTCACTGGCCATACACTTCTCGGGCCATGAGCCATTCTATCCTGAGACACCTGCTGACCTGCACAGAACATGTGTGGGCTTTAAACACCGCCCACCACATGCTGTGCAGGAAGTGTGTGGGCCCCACCACAAGCCACGGCCACTCCAGCAGATGCGACGACACCTGTCCAGCTCTGTGTCTGCCTAGCTGCCCTCATGGCCTGCTTGCAAAATTTTGCTTACAGCAAAGTAGGGCCATTTCTCGGCCTTTCGTCCTGCTGCCTCTGAGCCGGGCTTTCCTGGGCCCTGGGGGGAGATGGTGGCGCTGGGACTCGGGGGAGGGGCAGGTGCCGAGGGCTGGGACATGCAGATGGGGCATCATGGCCAGGCGACTGACCCAGGTGGGGAGGCGGGAGGAGAGGGGACGGGGCGGGGCTAGGGGCGGGAACAGCGGCCAGCGCAGGCGGACTTCCGGGTCGGGCACTGACCTTCTGTCCGAAGTAGAGCTTGGTGAAGGTGAAGGTCCGCAGGTGGGCGCTCTTCTCCCGGATCTTGGGCTCCAGCTTCTCCCGGAATTTGTTCTCCATGATCATGCTCAGGTATGGCCAGATCTGGGAGATGATCTGTGAGGAGGAAGGGGTTCCTGCAGATCGGGGCTGCGCCCTGCGGGCAGCCAGCAGCTGCCTGGTCCCAAGGATGGGGGCCCCACGCCTGCCTGCCTACCCAGCCCCTTGCCTAGCCATCTGTCTATCGGTCAGCTGCTAACTACGGCAGGGGCTCCCCCTCTGGGGCAGGCTCCAGGTTCCCCAGATTCGGAGCACCAGGGAGGGTGTTTACTCACCAGGGTAACATCTTGGGGTGAAAGCGTAACCCCACTCTGCACTGTGCTTTACACAAAATGGGGGACACACTTTGGATGACAATGGGACTCCTATCACTCCTATCACTCTTATCCTATGCCTGAGGCTTCAGGGAAAAAACTGCCCCGGGCAGAAAATGAAATGTTTTTCTGTGCAGTTAATTTCCTGGCAATCGGAAAAGGCAGCCCTTGGCCAGTCTGTGCAGCTGGTCTGGGGGCAGAGCACAGGACGTGGGGAGAGGGCGGGTGATGGTGGGGTCAGAGGGCATGGGGACGGCTGGCCCACAGACAAGCTCACACTTGGGGCAAAGGCTTCTCCCACTCCTTCGAAATTTCAAAGAGACGCCCTCCACCTGCCATGTCCCCTTCCAAAGCCATAATGACAAGGTTCATTGTCCCCGCCTCTCTTAGAGGCCCCTGCACACCCCAGGTGTCTGCTTCCCAAGGGCCGGTCCCATCTTCCTGTTTGTCCAGCCTTCCCTGTACTGAGTGCCCTGGACCGTGGCTTGCCTACACCCAAGACGAGGGTGGGAGCCTCCTCCCCACCCACAGTCTCTCTGCAGCATGCAGTGTGGCCTCTCTGTGTGCTCCCCAGTGACTGATGGGAGCGTACACAGGGACTCGGGAAGCAGCAAGCCCTGGGCCCCCCAGAACAATCCCCAGATACCCACTCACTCCTCAAACAGCAACCTGACCCCTACAGGTTTCACCCAGAGGCTGGGAGCTTGTGATGTACTTGGCAATGACATTTCTGCTCATGTGCAACCAGGAAGCTCAGGCCAGCAACCATCTGGAAGTCCTTTCTCACACTTGACCCATGTCCTCCCTGCTGCGGGATCTGTGTCAGGAGACTAGGGGGTGAGAGCCACAGTGGGGGGTCTCCCCAGACACAGACACAGCCAATGACAGGTGCGGGCAGATCAGGTGCCAGTGGACTCTGGTCCCTCAGCTGTGCAGCCAGGGGAGGGCCAGTTCTGGAGTCACCCAACAGGAGCTCTCCCTGGACACTGGGCAGTGCAGCCCCAGGGTGTCCCTGGGTGACCTGGCCGCCAGCATAACAATGATGTCACGGGCAGACACGCTCACACTGTGCCAGGGCGGGAGCCAGGCACGCCCACCTTGCGGATAAGGAAACTGGCTCAGAGACCTTAAGCAAACTGTCCGGTGGCACAGGATCTGGGCTGGGAGCAGGCGGCACCCAGAAGCTCTGGTCTAATTAGGGACTTCCTCTTCCCAGGAAAGTTCTGCACATGACCTGGAGGGCCAGCGGGGAGCTGTTCTCCTCTCTCACAGCTTTCTGTATTTCCTAAGATTTCTGCTATGGCTAGCTTATTAACTCAAAACTCCCTAAACATTGGCTTTTAGAGAAGAAAGCCATTCTGTGAATGAAGGACAAGGTTGCCATCTTGGCAGCGGTGGGGCCATCTGTGTCCCTTCCGGGCAAGGGGCACTGGGGTTTGGTCCGCACACCCAGTCACACTACCCCCATCAGGGTTGCGGTGGTGACTCAGCGCTGCGCCCCCTGCTGGAGGTGATGGGAAGCTGAGGCCTGGCCCAGTCCAGCCCTCCCAGGCTCCGCCCTTGGCCTTACCTTGTTGGCCCATTCCACCCTCTCCACGTCCGGGAAGTGGATCTAGGGAACAGAAGTCCGGAGGGAGAGTTAGAGTCGAGCCGCACACCCTCTGGGGACCACGCAAGATGAGCGTGCGTTCCTCATCCCACCCCACACTCACTCACTGCCATCACCAGGGCGCTCAGCACCCACTCTGCCCCCGCCCAGCCTTCAAGGAGCCACCCCCATGTAGGGCAGGTGGCCAACAGCGTCCACACGGGCCTCACCTTGCCTGGAGCAGTTTCCAGACCCCTCTCTAAACCCTACTCCCACCAAGAGAAGGGGGCAGTGGTCTGGAAATTGCTCATATGCATATGCAAATAAGCCTCCTCTTCCCCTGGACCCCCCCAACACCTGAGTTGGCTCCTTATGAATTCCATCCCCCTTTGTTTTCATGACACCCATAACATATACAGAAATTAGAAAGTAAAAAAATATATTAGCTAAACAAAAAAGCAGCTTTTCTTAGAGAATAAATTCAGTTAGTAAGTTCCCGTTTTCACTGGCAGCTGGGGAGAAGGCCCCATCTCTCCTCCCTCCCTTTGTCTCCCAGGAGCTCCAGGCCTCTGGGGTTCCCCAGCAAGGAGGTCCAGGGCCCCTGTCCTATAGTCGCATACAGTTTTCCTCAGGTCACAACCCTACTCCACCTGCTAGGTGAGTCCTGGGGGGCGGGGCAGAGGACAGGCAGACAGAGTGGTGGTCCCATCGCCTAAGCTCTGTGTGAACAGGTGTGAGCTGGCTAACTCCTGCTCGGGGTCCGCTGAGCTGCTCATCCCCTCCCCCAGGCTTTCAGAAGAGCGTCCTGGGCACGCTGTCCTGCCTCAAGCGCCTCAGTAATACGGTGTTATTGCCATCACTGTTCTTACGCCCCAGGTCGCCTGAGCAGGGGGCCAGCTTGGGCTCAGAGTCACAGTGGGCCTGGGACCACCCTCCCGTTCTGGGGGCTCGGAAGGCTCAGGGCCCGAGGACCTGCAGCTCACATGCCCGTTGCACACCCGAGTGCCAGCTCCAGGGTTGCCCTGAAGGCTCCAATTCACATGCTGGTCCGGTCCACCTGCCTGGAAGGCACCCAGAGGAGGCTGTGTTTCTGGGGGCATGGTTTGTCACTGCCTTGGGAGGCAGGAGCAGCCCAGACCTCCAGGACTCCTGAGACACCATGCCATTCTCCCACCCTCATTTTCCCCAGCCCCAAGCACTGGTCCACACCGGCTCAGACAAGCATCAACTATTCCCAGATGCTGCAGAAATGTACCTCCTGACTCCCCCCTGGGAACAGAAGTGGACTCGAGGGAACGGACGTCGGGGAAAGTGAGCGGGAGCTTGGGTCAGCCTGGCTCAGCACAGATCCTGCGGCAGCTCTGGGTCAGGTCCCCAGCTGAGAACCAGGCAGTGGAGGGCAGGACCTCATCATACAGCCCAGTCCTAGAACCCCTGCCCATGAGCCTAGAGACTGGCTGCAGCCCCTCCCGAGGCCTCTCTCCTCTAAGCCTCCTGGAACCTGGCAGCCCAGCCATCCTGCCCAAGCCTGCTTCCAGCGAAGGCTGGCACAGACCAGCTCCCTGGCCAGTGCCTCATTCACCGCCCTCTTAGACTTCACTTCTAGGATAGGTTCAAGTTCATGACGGTTTCCCGCTGCAGCATTTAACACACCTGCTGGAGCTGCTGTTGCTACTGCCTGCCTAGAGAGGGCAGCACCAGAGGAGCGGACTGCACCTGTTCCCTGCTTGTCCTAGCGTAAGCACTTCTTAATATCTGTGTGATTGAGTGAGTGCAAGGATCTTGTCTTCCAGCAGCTCCCTGGCTGGGGAAGGAGGCGGACTTAAAAGCATGCTACTTCAGATTGGGACCGAGCGGGGTGGAAGAGCACCCCAGGGGAGTGTCTGGTGACACCAGGGCCCCCACAGACGTCTGGTCCTTCCCTGCGGATAGCTCACTCTCCTCCCAACATCCCTGCGGGGCACACCTTCTGCGTAACCCCCTCCCACACCCCAGCCCGAGTGCTTCCCATCATTGGCAGCTGAGCAGTCCTGGGCTCTGGGCCTTGCAAAGGTGACCCAGCTTGGCAGGTGCAACCCTGGCCACCCTTGGGAGTTGGTGCGCCCAAGATTCCTGAGCTGCCTCGCACCTGCTGAATCAGAGTGTATGGGGCGGGGCCCTCCCACCTGTTTTTAACAAGCTCCTGGCATGCAACTGGAGTTCGGTCAGTCCAGCTGGTTGTAAAGTATCAATGACCAGCCCACCCTCCCACGAGGGCGATCCACACCCACCCTGAAAGTGTGGGCAGCCACAGAATGACCGAGGCCCATGCTGAGTAAGGTTTCATGGTCTCTCTGGGCCGCCCACACCTGTAGGTGAGGCTCCTCACCTAAGAGGTTTCTCCACAGAGTCTGACCCCCCTGAGAAAGGGGGCATCTCAGTCTAAGAGAATGAGCCCATGGTCACCCAGGTCTGCCCGCCCTCAGCTTTAACCCCAGCACCGGTGAGCGAGCCAGGGCCAGAGGCCGGCTCCCCTCACTGTGAGTGCCGGGGAGTAAGTGTGGGCAGGGGTCGGCATCACGGGCCATGATTCTTAGGCAGGCACTCCCACTCAGAGCCCCCCACCCCCGGACGCGAGGAGCCCGCCCTCCATCCTAACACCTGCTCTGTGGTGGACCTGGTGAAGACACCCCTCCTGAAGCCTGATGCTCAGTGTTAGCCTGGGTTTTTACCTACTGGCTTTCACATTCAGGTCTTTAATCTCTGGATTTTCTTTTTTAATATAAGGTTAGGAGCTGGCTGTGGCACAGTAGGTTAATCCTCTGCCTGCGGCACCAGCATCCCATATGGGTGCCGGTTCTAGTCCCGGCTGCTCCTGTTCTAATCCAACTCTCTGCTGTGCCCTGGAAAAGCAGTAGTAGATGGCCCAAGTCCTTGGGCCCCTGTACCTGTGTGGGAGACCCAGAAGAAACTCTTGGCTCCTGGCTTCAGCCTGGTCCAGCCCTGGCCATTGTGGCCATTTAGGGGAGGGAATCAGCAGATGGAAGATCTTTCTAACTCTGCCTTTCAAATAAGTAAATTTTTGAAAAAAATTTAATTATTTTATGAGAGAACAGACACCATTACCATATCAAATTTTGCAACAGTGAACAAAATATTTCCCTCTATTTGTTCACATTCTATTGTATTCATGTCAAAGATTATAAACTTTTAAACCTTTTAAATAAAGGTCCTGTATGTTTTTTGTTACATTTCTTGGTGGGGTTTGCAGGTATCAAAAATGGCACTCTATTTTCTAGTCAACTTGTGGAAATCGGCTTGTTGACTCTCCCAGGCTACTTAGACAATCGGCAGCCTCCGAGGGCCGAGTTTGGCCTTCTCACTCCCAACCTTATCTTGCCTGCCTTCACAGACACCTGGCACAGCATTGGTATCATTGAAGCCGCAGGGGTGACAGCCAGTGCTTCCACCCTGCTGTGGATCTTAAAGGGAAACGCCGTAAGGTTTTCCATTAAACACATCTTTTATGTACGTGTATATTTGGAGGACAGTGTCTGATAAATTGAGGAAGTTTTCTTTTTTCTTTTTTTTTTACAGGCAGAGTGGACAGAGAGAAAGGTCTTCCTTTTGCCATTGGTTCACCCTCCAGTGGCCACCGCGGCCTGCGCGCTGCGGCCGGCGCACCGCGCTGATCCGATGGCAGGAGCCAGGTACTTATCCTGGTCTCCCATGGGGTGCAGGGCCCAAGCACTTGGGCCATCCTCCACTGCACTCCGGGTCACAGCAGAGAGCTGGCCTGGAAGAGGGGCAACTGGGACAGAATCCGGCGCCCCGACCGGGACTAGAACCTGGTGTGCCGGCGCCGCAAGGCAGAGGATTAGCCTAGTGAGCTGCGGTGCCGGCGAGGAAGTTTTCAATACCTAACCTTGGGGCCGGCACTGTGGCCCTGGCCTGAAGTGCCAGTATCCCATATGCTCGCCAGTTCGAGTCCCGGCTACTCCATTTCTGATCCAGCTCTCTGCTATGGCTTGGGAAGGCAGTGGAGGATGGTCCAAGTCCTTGGGCCCCTGCACCCGCGTGGGAGACCTGAAGGAAGCTGCTGGCTCCTGGCTTCAGATCGGCGCAGCTCAGGCTGCTGCAGGCAACTGGGGAGTGAACCAGCAGATGGAAGACGCCTCTCTCTCTCTCTCTGTGCCTCTCTTCTAACTTTGACTTTCAAATAAATAAATAAATCTTTAAAAAAAAAAGAGATCTCTCCCTCCCTCCCCCTCCCCCTCACCCCTGTGACAAAAAAAAAAAAAAAAAAAAAAAAAAAACCATCCCATGATATGATCCCATGCAGGTTTCAGACACCCGGGACTCAGTGACACCTGTAACTGTCCCCATGCACTTCATATCCAGCTCTGGCATGAAGATTTTACAGTTAATTGTAGAATCAACGAGGCAGTTTCCCTCCCCTATGTTCTGAAGCAATTGTAAATATCACAATTATATGATCCCTGAAATTTAGTGTATTCTTTTTTTAAAAGTACTTATTGGAAAGGCAGGTTTACAGAAAGAGAAGGACAGTCTATCCATTGGTTCACTTCCCAAATGGCTGCAATGGCCAGGGGAGGGCCAAGCCAAAGCCAGGAGCCAGGAGCTTCTTCCAGGTCTCCCAGATGGGTGCAGGGGCCCAAGGACTTGAGCCATCTTCTGCTGCTTTCCCAGGCATTAGCAGGGAGCTGGATCGGAAGTGGAGCAGCCAGGACTCGAACTGGCACCCATATGGGATACTGGCATTGCAGGCAGCAACCTTATCTGCTATGATACAACACCAGCCATGTCTGGGTATTTTAAAAACATTGCTAAATAAAAAGCTCATTAAGAGGAAGTCATGGGGACCAGCACTGTGGCGTATTAGGTTAAGCCTCTGTGGCCCAGCATCCCATATGGGTGCTGGTTCTAGTCCTGGCTGCTCCACTTTGAATCCAGCTCTCTGCTACGGCCTGGGAAAGCAATTGAAGATGGCCCAAGTCCTTGGGCCCCTGCACCTACATAGGAGA